TCTATCCTTTTCTTACCAAATACACTAATATTTCATCTTGAACCCAGACCCTATTGTTGGGAGTTCCCCAGCTTACAGTTGAAGGAACTGATACGTAGAACATAAGCCTGACAGTAATAGGTACAAGCTTTGAACTGAGAGTTCATTCTAATGTGTGACCTTCGGCTTCTTCACTGTAAACAAAAATTCAGCACATCTAGATCTGTCCAGTAAATCTGATGGAAGGCCAAACTGAAAGTATTTCTCTGGAGGCTGAGAAACTGTAACTTTTGAAAGAGAAGACAGTGACATCCCATTGTTGGCTGTTTGGACTTTCTGAATTAAAAAAGATACTTAAAAATGGAATGATTATGTAATGGAATAAAATGCAAGTAACCTGGGGTCGAAAGGCAGCCCAGGAGTTCATGGGCAGTGGTAGCCTAAGGACAGTAGGTTCATGTGACACTTTGCAATTTCTTCCTCAAGGATATCGAGAAGATAAAAAACACTGTCAAGGGAGGCAAACTGTAGGTCATGTTGGAGATCAAAGACAGAGAGAGAATTAGAAGCCAGAGTGTGTTTGTTTCATGAACATTTACAAGCTAAGGTCCGAACCTTCCATTTTGCTCATGCGGAGGAGTATCCTGTGTGACGTTCAGGGGCAGCTTAGCCACAGCCTGCAGCTGAATGTAGGCCTCCAGGGTCTCAGCTGTGCCATACCATGGATTTCCATACTGCTTGCTTGTATATCCCTTCTGCCTAAAGTATGTACCTCATCAGACATTTTAAAGTTAACGTCTGAATTTCTTCATGACAAAGGCTTGCAAATGATGCAATTTCTGGTGCTTTGAAAATCTTGACAGTTTAAAATAAAAATGTTGCATCATTTTAAACGTCTCCAGTGAAATATAAGCACCATAGCTATCAGATACCCTCTATTATCCTTTCAAAAATAAATAAAAACCCTGTGTTTATCAGTCAAAGATGTTGACTCATTTCTTTTCCTCCTTGAAATTATATTTCCATTCCACTTCTCCCTTAAAAGTTTACCTTCGTATAATATGTATATATGCTTGAAAGTCTTTCACTGATCACACTCTCATGGTACATCAAAAAAGGGATAGAAATTAAAGTTAAATATTTTTCTGTGACCATAAGGCTTTGTGTTGCACAATTTTGGAATTCAAAATCCTTTCAATTTTTTTTTTGGCTTTTTGAGACAGGGTCTCCCTGTAGCCCCAGCTGGCCATCCATCTGGTCCTGGGCTTTTTAAAATTTTTTAAGTTTTAAAAAAATTTTATGTGTATGAGTGTTTTACCTGCATGTATGTGAGTGTACCTGTGTTGTGCAATGCCCACAGAGATCAGAAGAAGGCATCAGATTCCCTGGAACTGGAGTTACAGATGATTGTTAGCCACCCTGTGGATGGGGAAACCAACCCAGGTCCTCTGCAAGACCAGTCAGTGCTCTTAACCCCTGTGGCATCTCTCCAGCCCCCTCTTCATTTTTTTACATTTAAAACTCAATTTTAATTGGCACACAATATTTGTAATTTGTATAGTACAGTATGCTCATTAGATACACAGATTAAAAACATTTATACATAATGTACGTGTGGATATTATGTATGTATACATGAGTACGTGTATTCAATGATCATGGTAATTAGCATTTCCAGTTTCTCAAACATTGGATTTCTATGATAGTGTGGTAGGGACCTCTGAACTCTTCTAGTTATTTGAAATATACCATGGATTCTAGCTTGTCAGTTACCTTACTGTGATACACAGCACTACTACCAATTCTATCTAACTGCATTTTGGTACCTGTTATTTAACTTCCTTTGTTTCTCCCTCTCTTTCTACTTCTTAGTTTCTAGTGACCACTGTTTCATTATAGAAATTATTAATGTATAATTGAGCAAAATAATACAATCACATTATGAGCTCTTATAAAGTAACTAAAATAGTATTGGAAATATATCTTTTAAAACGATAGATGGTTGGAAGAGTGTGATCTCTGATTGAAGAGGCTTTCTGGACCTCTGAGCTTCAATGTCTTCCTTTTTGGTGCCCTGGAGGCCCTGATACCAGTATGTTGGCGAGAGGCAGATGCGCCTCCCTTATGCAGTGCTGAAGAGGGATGCTTGTGAGAGAAGGTAGAAGCAGCAAGTGGGCGCTGGCCTCTTTGGGTTGTCCTCTCTCTGGGGCTACGGTGGAGAGCAAATAAATGCTGGGCATCTGAAAACGGAGTCAACATGCACCAAAAGGGCCTCTTTCATATCAGTCTGATGAAGTTCTAAGCCGCCCCACTTTCCAGGCCCATCAGAGAGACTGTTAATATGCACTTGATTCCTCCACCTTAGAAGAGTTTACAGAAGCTACTTAGTAGAAACAGAGACTTAAGTATGCCTGTGTTGTCAGATTTTAAGAAATGAATGCATTTTGGAGGTTTTCAACCTACAGAACCCGTTGTAATGGATACTGACACTGACCAAATAACAAGTCATGTGCTGCACAAACTATAAAAATTCTATATATGACACTATAACACGATTGTTATGGATACAATATATCTTCACACAGGGACCAGTTGACTGATATTTCACTGACTGGACATCAACTTAACAAGGGGAACTTGGCAAACCCTTATTGCACAAAGGGCAATGCTATGTTATGACAATGAATTCTAAATTCTTGGGACTTCATATAATTGTGACTTCTTGATTACACTGTACATCCAAAAGCAGCCAGTGGGAGGCTCAGCTTCACAAAGCCACCTTGGGGTTCCATTTTATCATTGTGCCATTTGAATTCTGTGGCAGAAGAGGCAGGAAAATTACATTTTTTGAAAGTTACTTCATTGGAAGTGACGGCTGTTGCTACTATTAACGTTTTATTAGTCAGAACTTGTCCAAAAGTATGTCCAAAGGTGGGATGGTTGGGAAGTGCACTGAGTGACACTTCATAAACAATTTTAGTCAATTTAGGGAAAAATGATTACTAAGGGATGCTGTTTAATAATATCAGTAAAGTTATATCAATAGTGAAAACAATTACATAAGTTGAATAAAACATGAGTGAGTATGCTGGACTCATTGACCACTCCCGATAAGTATTAACATACAGTCACAATTTCAGTTTCATTAACTGAAGAAATGGCTTCAGTAAGAGTGTTTCCTAAAGGTTAAAGAGCTCACATTTGTTAGATGTGAGATTCTGAGGAAAGTGGGTGAAGGGTTCCCTCAAATATACGCCAATATCATAATCCACAGAACAAGTGAATCTGACTTGGAAAAGGGTCTTTGCAGATCCGTAAGGATCTTGAGGTGAAGAAATAAACTTGGATTATCTGATGACCCTTCAATCCAATGGCAAGTATCTTTATGGGAGTTAAGCCCTGACTATCTCCAAAGACCAGAATCTTAGCTTGGTTAGAAGTGCTCATCATAGCACCTGATGATTACTGGGTGCTATTAAACAGTGATTCTCAGTAATTCACTCACACTTTGTGTCAGGTACTAACACTCATAAGCACCTCTGAGCAAGTGACCTGGTAAAAGATGGACATGTTGCCCTGACACATCATTTAGGTTTGATTGATGATGTAGTCCCCTTATGTGTAACATGGAGCTTAGGCCTGGTCTGCTCACCTGTGGGGTTGTGGAAGACTCAACAGAAAGCTGCTACCTCTTCATCCAATGATGGATCTGAAGTTTCTGTAGACCAACAGGGCCAGAAGTAGGGGGAAAAAGCCATGAGATATGGGAGAGATCATGGTCAATGTAGACAGACACAGAGCATAAGGACAAATAGAATCTATATTTGTCTCTTACCACTTTGGACTTTGACTCTAAAACAAAGCTGGAATCTTTCTGCGAAGTTCACTACATGTTTCACCCAGGCCTCAGTAGCTAGAGGAGGAGGGAGGAGAAGGAAGAGAAGAAGGAGAGGTGGTGGGTCTCCCAACAGGATAAGTCAGGATGTTGAAGACAATCTGTGCACTGACCTTCATGGCATGAATGCTGCTGTGTCTCTTCCACTTCCCCAAGTACCTGTTGTGGACAACTGCAACCTGGAGCCACATAGAGACAGCTCTGGAAAATAAGGCTCCAGTGCAGCTAAGCCGACCAAAGTAGAACGACTACACTAGTGTTCCTTCCAGGTTTTGGTCTCTGAGGTGGTATGGCTCTGGGGACCCGTGGCAGAGGTAAAGAAGGTAGTCTAGGCACTGGAGAGATGGATCAGTGGTTAAGAGCACTGACTGCTCTGGCAGAGGACCTGGGTTCGAGTCCAAGCACCCACATGGCAGCTAACAACCATATATAACTCCAATTCCAGGGAATCTGACACTCTCTTATGGCCTTCACGGGCATTGCACGCACATGGTGCACTTCTATACATACAGGCAAAAAACTCATACGCATAAAATAAAAAGAAATTAGAAAAGAAGGTAGCCCGCTTGCCCTTCTGACTCATCCCTTCCTACTCTTGGTTTGACACTCACTGTTACCTGGTTTCAAATGCTCACTCTTATAACAGGCAATCTCCTGAGTTAGAAATTAAGGAATGAGATGTGGTTGGAGAACGTTTGCATTACATGGTACCCATTATGTCCTTGCTCCTAGCTCTCTGCCATCAGCAGAGTGACTGAAACATTAGTTAGGTACCTTGGAGTAAGCAAGGACAATATAGTGCATTAGGGCTTGACCCACTGGTCAGGAAATTTATGTTCTTTCATTTAAAAATTTTTTATTTTATGTGTATGAGTGTTTTGCCTGTATGTATTTCAGTGCACTCTTGCATGCAGTGATCCTGGAGGCCAGAAGTAGGTGTCAGATCTCCCGGAACCAGATTTAAGGACAGGTGTTAACTGCCACATGGGTGCTGGGAACCGAACCTAGGTCCTCTGGAAGGGCAGTGAGTGCTTTTAAGTACTGAGTAATCTCTCTAGCTCAGTTTTTGTTGCTATGACATAATACCTGACAAAAGAAGCTTAAGAAAGGAAAGATTTATTTTGGCTCATAATTTGAGGGTACAGTTGAGGGTACAGTCCAACATGGTGGAGAAGGCATGGCTGCACAATCTTGAGGTACCCTCACATTGCACCAGCAGTCAGGAAGCAGAGAGAGATGAATCTTGCTCTGCTGGCTCATGGAGTGGTAAGGCCCACAGATAAGGTGGGTCTTCCCACCTTGCTTAACCTAATCTAGATAATCCCTCACAGACATGCCCAGAGGCTTATCTCCTAGGTGATTATGTAACGATGACAATATTTAATCATCAAGAGGATTTCTGCAGTTGGGTGGCAACTTCAGTATTAAGCAGCTGTTAGGTGGGCAGAGGGACACTTTGGAGCTCAGCTTCTTTAGAGGTGTCCTCCCTGACAAAGCATTGGGGTCCTGGTCCCAAGTGGTATAGCTGTTCACAGGACAGAGCACCTGCCTGGTAGTCTGGTTCCCATAATTCTGGCCAGATAAGAGTAAAGATGAAGAAAAATTTATCTATTACTATAGTTCCCCAAGGGAGCTACTGCCAACATTTTGGTGTGATCCTCCATTGTTTTTTCCTAATTCAAGAATACACATGTAAAAGAAAGGGGGGCACTATTCTGTATATGATATTTGATAACTCCTTTTTCTTTTGGAGCTGTCTTTTTCCATGTCACTAATATTCCCCTTCAATACTATTCGTGTCATTGGATTTTCTTATATCCATGTGCCCTAGTTTATCCATGGAGTGGCAAAGAGACCAGGCGCTGAAGCCAAGCTGCTGAGGTTCAAATCAAAACACCGACAAGCGAAGAAACCTTTGTCTCGTTGTTTCCTCCTGTAAAATAGGAACAGAAGCAGTTTACATGGATGTCCTGAAAAGTAAATGAGCACATATATGTGGAACAATATTTGGAATAATTTTGTAATATCATTATTTAGCCAACATTTTGAGTATTTTGATTATTTTCAAGTTTTCCCACTCTCATAAATACACTGTAATTAACTAATTCAGTACACTCTTAATTGCTTCCAAAGGAAACATTTGTGGTCATAGAGTAGACTGTTATTCAGAGTAAATAAAGAACTAAGTAAACATTGAGTGTCCATATGTACAACGCATATGCAGAGGAAGGAACACAGTTCTTTCTTCAGATCTGGGAAGTGTGTGCATGGGGTTGGGGGGAAATGTGCACAAGTCCAATACTGTTGTGGAAAGCCTGGCAGAGATAAACACCCGGGGAGAGGGAGGAGAAAGGAAAGCACTTGTAGTTGGAGTCAAAGCTCTCAGTGAAAGAGAGGCAGGCTGCTGTTTCTGTTCCCACATCCCCACATCACAATTGGAGAATTTGTTACCTTGAAAAAGAACACCCAGGGCTGGGTTCCAAAGTTAGAAAGCAGAATACTGGTGTACATTGCAAGACCAAATATTTAAAAAATACCTTTTTCTGGAAAGGAAAGAGCACATTTAACAGCTGAAAAGAGAAGTGAAAAATGAAACTAAAACAGCATGAAGGTAATATTTTCTTGCTTGGTTTATACAGTGCCTACTTATAGAAAAGCTGGACCATCAATCAAGTCTGTAACCCCCTAAAACACATACACTTGGTTCTCAATTACATGGCATTTTGTGAAGCACATTTTGCAATCATTTTGCTGTTGTTATAAACTGTTCCGCTCTTGCAGCTCTACCACCTGCCACATCACTTTTGACCACCCTGCCAAGAGAGAGCAAGACAATATTAGGCACATGAATTTGGTGTCAGATTTTCCTGGGCTAAGTACTGGCTTTCCATTTTACCAGTTGGGTGCCCCTGGCCATGGTACATGAGTTTTAGTTTTCCCATCTGTGAAATGGGAATAATAACAATACCTATTTACACAGAGCACTTGGCAATGTTAGCCATAGGATACAATGGGGATGCAAGCCGATTTTATTATTGGCGTATGCAGATGATCAGCTACACTGGTCCCTGAAATCCAGGCCTACGATCCCCCTAAATGGGATCTGCATCATTTCTAATTTTCTTTCTGAAATTGGAGGTTGAAAGGTGAGGACTCACATACTAGGGTGGCAAAGAGACATCTCTTCTAACCAAAACGTTTAGACCACTACTGACAGTAGAATGAAGATGAGTGATAAAGCTTAATACCTCTCCTGGGGCACTCACATTTTAATCTGGTGCCAAAACCACTGCACAAAGGAAAGTGGGGGAGTGGTGAGGTTTCAGGTCTCAAGCAGTGGCCAGAGAGGCGCTTTGAGAAATACAGCGAGTTGCAGCATGCCTGAAGCTTCTGAGGCATGCATGCATGCATCCAGCCGCCCATTCATCCTTCACTCACTCAGCATGCATTTATTAGGTACTTGCTACCTACCAGATACTGCTCTATGCATTGATGAATAAAACTGTGTAAGACACCTTGCCTTCGAGCAGCTTCCTTTGAAGGGAGGCAGTTTACAAATAAACAACAAAATTAATGAATAAATAAGTCACACAATGTATTAGCCAGCCATTAGGGATTAAATGCAATGTAAAAGGCAGGGTATAAGACAGGAAGTGCTGGTGGGAGTTGGCAGTTTGCAGTATTTACTCAGGGTGAGATCAGGAGCTAGGTTTTCAAGAAGCTAAGGCATCTCTAAGATGTCTAGGGAAGGGACTGCAGTAGGCAGGACTAGAACAGAGGCAAGAGGCTTTGTGTGTGTGTGTGTGTGTGTGTGTGTGTGTGTGTGTGTATGTATGTGTGTGGTCATTTCTGATGTGTTTAGAGGAACCTGGAGGAGGAAGGGAAAGCAGTAAGGGAGGGTGTGATGGAAGTTGTACACTGTCCTGCCTGTAGTTCTTGTAGGTTATTGTGACTTTCACTAAGTGACAAAAGGGCCACTGGAAGGTTTGGGGAAGAAGAGTGCCATTTAAAAATGATTCTTCCAGTTGTGTGTTGAGGATAGACTTGAGGAAAGGAGGGGAGTGACTGGGGACCAGTCACTGCAGCGCCCCAAGTGCAGAACTTTGGCTCAGCCTTGGAAGGTGTGGCAGCAGAGGGAATGAGGGAGGCCAATAGGCATTCGGTCCAAGGCGAATTGTTTGATGCACAGATGTGAGGCAATGAGAGAAATCAAGTTAAGATGAAGCCAGGCTTCTTATCTGAGCGACTATGAGGATCAAGTGAATCGAGGGAAGACTGTGTGAGGCACAGGCCCAGATAGATGAGGTTTGAGCTGTTAGACGCTCATGTGGAGAGGGCTGGTTGGCTGGACTCTGGGATTCAGAAGAAAGGTCTAGACTTGAGATCTATATTTGACATAGGTTCTTGCTTAAAGGCAGGCGGATAATAGGGCTCTCTAGGGAACCAGGGGTCAGGGAGTGAGAAAGTCTAAGGGCCTCTAGCTACAGTGGGTTTCCCAGTGGTAGGCCCTTCCAGAAAGGACTCAGCAGCCCCATCTAGAGGAGCTGGGCTTGCAGGAGGTGCCACGGGTCCTACCTTGGCTGCAGTGAGTGCTGGAGAGATGTGCTCCACAGCTCCCGGCCAGGGTGGCAGAAATAATTAAGAGAAGTGGGTAAGTATATGCTGGCAGAACACGTGCTCGCCTGCCCCCAAGGAATCAGCAAACCTGGCTCTATTAATCTGTTCAGACATCTGGGCACCACCGCTGCTTTGCACGAGGCTCCGCCTCTAGGGCTCTTTCTCTCTCCCCTCCCATCTGCTGCCCATCCTCGCCTGTGTATGTCGCCCGTGTATGTCACTTCTACAACCGCTCTGATTGTAATTGATCCAACAGAATCACGGAATCACAGCTCATTTTGCCGTTTTGTTCACTCGATCTTAAAGAGACTGGGAGTTGGGCAAATTGTATTCCTTGTTCTTGGAATTCCGCTCACACAGCGAGGCCTGCTGGGCCCCTGAGGGCCGAGCAGCAGGAAAGCGGGGGTCTGCAGGCCAATCCTGGGCGCAACAGGGGATCCTGGAGCCTCGAACCCGGGGCTGCCCCGGCGCCTCTCGTGGCCGGAGGCCTGCACTAGTTCCCCGGCCGCCGTGCCGGCAAGGGGTTGGTCGGGTGGCGCGGCCGCGGGCGCTGAAGTTGGGCTCTGGTCCGCGCCTGGAGCGCCCCCCCGCCACATCTGGAAGCGTTCAGCGCGTCTGCTCCGGCGCGCCGGGCGGGCGCGGGCAGGGCGGGCGCGGGCGCGGCGGGGCTGAGCAAGGGAGGGAGGGACGGAGGGAGGCAGCGCCGCGCTCTCGCGCCCGGTGTCTCCCTCTCGCTGCCTCTGCAGAAACAGCTCCCTGCCAGAACGGCGCTCGGCGCGGCGCGGCCCGGAGCGGCGGCGCGGGCTTCCTGCGGGCGAGCCCCAGGTGTGAGCCGCCGCTTTCCATCCCCAGAAGCCGACCGGGCCTCGGAGCGCTCGCCCTGGGCGGGCCCGAGACGCCTCGGCCCCCTGGCGGCCTGGGGTCCGCCCCGCGCCGCGGGTCCGCTCGGCTCCCCCTCGCCTCGGCTTTGCGCCTCTTCTCTCTCCGCCTCTCCATTTCTCATTATTATTATTATTTTTTGTCCAAACGGTGGAGCGGCCAGAGGTGCGGTGCTAAATTCTTGGAAGGGGCCCGGATGTACTGAGGATGCTTTCCAATCTCACGAAAGGAGGCGGTAGTGGAAAGCAGCAGTTTGTGGTGTTTGGTGCAATAATGGGGATCAGGTAATCACCCCGAAGGGAGGAAGAAACACTGCGGATTCCCGGCTTCCTCGATTTGCGCGAAAGCCGCCGACCTCGGACGACGGATTCCTCCCGACCCGCTTCGGGGCTGTTTTTGCATTTCTTCCTCTTTGTGGCTTCTCCTTTCCAAGCAGTTTTTGGCCAATGGTCAATGAAAACACCAGGATGTACGTTCCGGAGGAAAACCACCAAGGTAAGCGGGGGGGACCCCGCGGCTTCGCCCAGCTCCTCCGGCCCGCGTTGCCCTCGGCGGATCCGGGTGCAGCCGTCCCGCGCCGCGTGCGAGAGGGGCGCCGACGCCGCGGGAGCCCCGGCCCGCCGGCCCACGAGCCCGAGCGGAAAATTCCCGCCCCTCCCCCCGCGGCCGGCTTCTTCCGAGCATGTGTTTCCCATGCCATTCCCGGCGAGGGGGAAAGTTCCCCAAGTGCCTGCTGCTCGCTACTGCCTCGCGATCTCTCTGCCTCGAAAGCCGGACCGCCGGGCCGCTGCGCCTGGCGAAGGGAGCGGCTGCTTCGGGGTCCCTCGCTCGGTCCCGGGGGCGCGGCTGGGAACGCGCGCGCGCACCCCGCCGTCAAGACACCCTGCACCCGGGTCGCGCCCCCCCCCCCCCTTGAGCTGCCCGGGGCCACGCTTCCCAGAGCCATTTCCTCGGGCAGTGCGCTCTGGGTCGCGGGTGGGGGGCGGGGATGCAGCCTTGAGTCTCCGCGCGCCTCCTCTCTCCATCTCTCTCATAACACCGCCCACCTCTTCACTGCCATTGACCCTGGGCCAGCCCACGCTTCGCGTGTTCCGATCCACACTCCTGCGTGGACTAGCATCCGAGAATGGAAGGGGCTAGAGGGCCAGCGGTGGGTGGGCTTTGCTTTGACATGTTTTAAGGAAATCAGGAAAGGGTGTGACTAGTTCTTCAGGCTCCATAGTATGATTGCCTGGCGTGTGTTCTTTGAGCATCTTCATCCTGGGCATCAAGTGCCACAGCTCCCGCTCAGATGGTGAAAGGCTTTCAGGTAACTCCCCACTTCCTGGAAACTTTCTCCTTCTTCTCCTCCTCCTCCACCCCTCCATTGAGAAGTTACTGTGTTTGACATAGCTCAGTGATTAAGGTGGTGGTGAGGTGATAATGCTAAATTGCCTTGTTCTCAAGATGCCTCTTTCTTCTGCGGGCTTTCTGCCCCTTGGGTGTAGTCTCCTTTTCCTCTTCCCCTCCGCAGCTTCCATCGCTCTTCCACTCCATGTCTTCCTTGGCCTTGCCAGGGTTCTTCCAAGTGATACTTCAGAGCCCAGCCTGGTAGAAGTAGTTTCCAGGTCTGGTGTTCAGCCTCTTCCCTCCTTTTGCCAGATCATCACCATTTGGGGATAGGGCCATTGCCTTTCCAGATTGGGGCTGCTGAGGAGCTTGCGGGCCTGCCTGGTCTGCCTCCATCCTGAAGCCTATTTGGGGCCAAGTGGCTTCCCACCTTGAGTGGCAAAGTGGGGGATTTTGGCCTCCTTGGGAAGAAAGACTTGGGTCATGGGTGCTAGGGCTTTGGGGTCACAAGAATAGCCTCTATCTCCAGTCTGCCTACTTGGTGCTTCCATCTGTCCCTATGTCCCTTTCCTAGCTGATGGAGTCATGGATGGATTCGGAGGAGGGAGGGAATGAGACAGAAGAGAGGATGGTATTTTTGAAGAGTGGGAATGGACTACCTCTCTCAGGTTCTGCCCACGTCCTCCATCTAAGCAACTCTCTCAGTGGAGGAGGACTAAGCAATACTGTCCCAACTATTACTACTGAGAGCAAGACATTGTGGTCCTAACAGGTACGTTCATAGTTTGCTAGATCTCCTTGTAGTGGAGGATAAACCTCTTCTTAGCTTACTTCCCTACTCTCTTTTCTTTTGCCCCTTGCTCCTCAGCATCATCCCAGAGCTCCATGCAGGGAGCAGGCTTTAAGAACAGGAGCACCAATGCTGCAGGTTGTGGAGAAGGATGTAGGGGAAGAGAGGAGGGAGCAGTGGCCAGGAGCTCTACCTTTCCAGCAGGAAGCCAGCGAACACTATAGGAACCTGGATGCCACTGTCTTCCATCAGAGCTGCAGTGGTTATATAATTCACAGGAGCACTTTTGCCTCCATCCCCAGATGCGGTTCTCAGGTGAAAGAGCACCAGGGTCCTTGTCCCCCTCTACCTCCTACTTCCTCTTCTTTGATTGGTTAGACTTCCTTTGGGGAGGGATGGGGATGGTGGAGAAGTGGGAAGGATTTACCTGGAGGAGTATGACTAGTTACAAGGAAGAAGTGGCTGACTTAGTAATTCATGGATGAGGAAGTGTAGTTGGGGGCTAGAGTTTCAAGAGGCAGAGAGAAGAGCCAAATGATGACCTCAGAACAGCAATGGTGACCAATCAGAGTGGAGAACCAAAGAAGTTGCCAGGTGGTTGCTCTCTTCTCTTCTGACTGGCTTGAAAGCACCGAATGCACCTCCTTTGCCCAGCTTTTCAGTTGCAGTCTGTGTGCATACACATGCTAAAGGTCAGACCACGGGGGCCAGAGGCCAGCTCCTCAAAACAACCTGGAAGTTGAGGGAAAGATGGACTCTGACCTCAGACTTCGGGCTTCGGGCTGAGGTGATACACTCAAGCTATGCCTTACTTCTGGTTCCCAGTCTGCTCAGGTACCAGGCCAGCCTTCCACCTTTCTAGGCTGATAATCCATTGTGAGCTCCAGCTAGCAAATGAGTTTCTTAGTAGTCAACCACTTAACACATAAAACATCGTAATGTCCCTTATCTGCTGGAGGCAGGGCAGAGGGGAGAAACGTATTCTGGGAGGGGAAAACACTCTGCCCTTTTCTTTAAACTACTTAGCCATCCAACAGAATAATAGTCATCATTTTAAATGAAGTAATAACAAAATAATACAGTCAATTCTTTTTAAATAGAGATCTGTGATGCTTTCCCCTCAGCTGGTGCAGGTCGAGGAAGCTGAGATCAGTTTCTCTTTCTCTGCACGCTGCACGGAGCAAGCTAGAGAAAAGGGGCTCTTGAGTTCCAAGTGCTGTTCCTGGTAATATAGCAATACAACATAAGGGAATCAAAGTCTTCATTATTTCCATAGAATCCATTTTAGTGGTAGTTAAACATGTGTACACACACACACACACACACACACACACACACACACTCAGAATTAGAAAGAACTAATGTACCTCACTGACCCTGGTCTTATGCAAAGGAATGTTGATGATGCAGTCTCCTAAAAAGGTTTGAACTTTTTTTTTTTCTTAAACCTCATGTTAAGTGCAAACTCATTCTGGGACAATAGATGCCACAGAGATAGTAGTGATTTGTCAATGCAGTGGTGAGCCACTAGCCCCCTGAAGTCTTGGAGATGACTTAGTATTTCTTTAGTCCTCTCTTCTACTCAAAACGGCTTTGGGTGGACTCTTCTGTGAAAAAATCCACTAAAAGGGCCCTAGGGGAGACACAGTGGAGTTTTTGAGACCTTGCTAATCTTTGGATTCTACTTCCTGACAGAAATCCACTCTCAGCCCAGGGGTTGGATGTAAAATTGAATGTAGTCCTGTGTGAACAGATGCTACAGGACCTGCAGTGAATCTGATTTCTGCCTCTCCCAGTAGGTGGTGCTACAGGGCTTAAGAGTCAGGTCAGGGTCTCCAGGGCCAGTCAGATGAGGAAAGACTTTGGGGGCACGGAGACAATTTCCGGTTGGAGCTGTGCCTGCTTCCTCATGCATATACCTGCCCTGGTGCAGAAGAACTGAAGACCAGTATGTGTCTCTATGGTGCTATACACCCTGTAGGCCTTGCAGAATGAGGGCAGCCCTGTGTCCCTCCACGGCTCTTTCTTCCAGAGGTCCTGAAAACCCCTTTGGATTTCTCAGGTTCTGTTGCACTTCAGACTTCTGCTCACCTGGGGCACAGACAGTATCCTGCAGAGCCTAGAGGGAGCCTTTGGATGGGGTGGCTGAACATACCATGGCCACATGTTGACTTCTGTCTGGATTTGAGAGGGATGGTGGGCCAGTGGTTTCCAAGCTAGACAGACTGAGGCAACCTGAAAGTGGGGACCTAGAGATGCTAACCTGTGGGGTTACCACGCTCATCAGTAGCTCCAAGGCAAGAAGACATTTCCTTAACTTTTTAGGGGGAAAAACTACAAGACAGATGGATGAACTTCACAGCTGATTTCTGCCTCTGCCATCTCCTGCTGGATTAGGAGACCCAGGCTAGGAAGTCATTGAGGTCCATTCTGATCTTAAGTGCTATTTTCCAACTCTTGGTATTTTCTTCTCTGTGTCTATTTTCCTTGGTTTCTGAGTTGCTCTGGCAAGTTCTGAGGACCAAGGAACACTGACTTAGAAGGGGTGAGTGGCCAGTGATGCTTTCTTCCTTTTACAGTAATTCTGCCTGCCTGGTGTTAAAGCTGTGGGTGATGTAGGAATTATGGGTCAGACAGCCAGTCACATCACAGCTTTCTTGTTGGCCCCCTGAGGAATGAAGAAAACAATTTAACTTCTAATACACATTAAAGAAAGCCCATGGCTTGTTGTAGAAACAAGCCTGAAGACCAACAGCAAGACTGATTACCAAAATAATCATAATTTAGTCTGCTTCTAGATTCTGTCCTCTCTCTTGGCTAGACTCATGTTAGGCACTACTGAGGAGAGCAGAATAGACTGAAAACGAAAAAAGGCATGGGGGATTTTGTTTTGTGAAATATTAGGTGCTAAATATGTAGCAACATGCTAATCATTCTGGTAACGAAACGATACTTGGAGTCATGGCTGTCAGCATTAAAATAATTTAGTCAACACTTGTTTACTGCACCTCAAGGTTAGGCACTGAATAAAACAAGTAGCAGTGACAGGACCGTGACAGGCTCCCTCTAGGAAAAGAGGCATGATTTCAGTGCCTTTTCAGTCTAGTGCCTAGGCTTCAGCTAGGCCTGTTGCAGACCGAGCAGAACTGAGGGTGAATACAGTGATCCAAGGAGCTGAAACCTGTGTCTTTAATCTCTAGGTGGTCGTATGCTGCCCATGCTCAGGCTTTGCTGATCCTATGTAAGTGCGGCCCAGGAGGCCTCCCCAGACCCTTGCTGCTCCCACAGTTTTGAAATTCTCAGAAGCAGTTACATCTCATAGCAACAAGTGAAATGGAGCTGATTCTGTGTCATCCTCTTTCTCCAGGATATTCCA